TTATGCCGCTCGGCCTCGGCGGCCACCTGGCTGTTGTTCTACCCCGCATTCCTCTCCGAGGAATGCTGTTCTGGGATGCTATCATTCCCACGATGTAACACGTGTGGCAATTGGGCTCACGTGTTGCTTCATCTATCGTTTACATGGGGATTCCACTACAGGGCGGCACGCGCCCGTCAGGAGCTGATCACGCGTCCGACCGTGACCACAGAGGCATCCCCGCCGGGCCTTCGCATTCCGCCGGGGGGTGCGGGCGTTCCCGCGTCTTCGTCTGCATCCGCGGGAAGGGCCCCTCCTCTGTCGCGGGGGCCCGGGCATGCGCGTGCCCGTTTGGCCAATCTAACCGAGATAGCGGCCGGGCGCGGGGTCTACCGGCGTCTAGCGGCTCGGGGATGGGCATATGCTGTCTTCCGGTTCGGCCGCGCTGCCCCCCCCCCCCCCCCCCCCCCCCGAGGCCCGGGATGGGACTGAGATCGATGCAACCGTGGCGAGGGCCTTGCTCCCCGGTTTCCGCGGCTTTGGGCCGCGGGAATGCGGGCCTCCTCCTTCCGGGCCTGGCCCTGGCGCGCGATCCATGGCGCTGGTGTTTGCCGGCTTCCGGCTGTACGCACATTACGGCTCTGTGGGTGTGTATGTGTGTGTGCGTGTGTGTGTGTGTGGGGTCGAGGAATTCCCTGTCACAATATGGCCGACGCGCGAAACAGGCCCAGGCCAGTTCTCGCGGGGCTCTTTGCCTGACCGTGGTAGGGAGGGGGGGGGGGTAGGGAGAGTGGGGGCAGGTGGATGACGGTTGCCCCGGCCGCGCCACACTCGGAGCGACCCTCCTGGATCCCAGTGTGCTTGCGCCGACCGGCCGCCGGACCGGCCAGCTTCGGCCGTGGACGATGGTTGATTCGGCAATGCGCGTGCGCGTGTGTGTGTGTGTGTTGGGGGGGGGGGTGGGAAAGAAACGGACGCGCGTGACCATGCCTCTTCCGTGTGACTATTTCAAAATCACGCCCTCATATTTGACATCCGTTTGCTGGCTGTTCAAACCTCGGCCCGATGCCCAGCTAGCCCACAGGGCAGGGTTGGGCTCAATCGTGGGCCATGTTTGTCCTGGGCCGTGGGGGGGGGGGGGGGGGCAATGGGGGCGATCGCCGGAATGGCCCTTCGCCCGCTTGCAACTGCGTGTGCGCCTGGATCGTTCGTTCGTTCGTTCATTCGTTGGTTCGAGGGTGATCCCGGCCTTGTGTTCGATTTTCCCCCATCTGGCGGCCTCCGGGCGCCCCACCACAGCCACCACCACCCAGCCATGCGGTGGTTGTGTTGCTGCCCCCTCCCCCCGCGCGGGAGCATCATGTTAAGTGTCTGCACTTCGAGGCATCTCCCCCCGATCGGGGCGATCGATATTGCATGCCCCTCCCTCGCCCCCTCCCCCCCCCCCCCAGTCCCTCCTTCCCATCCCCCTACCCATCCTTTTTGTGCCCCCGCCACCTGTCTTTCCTTCACGTATTGCGCACTCGGAGGTAGTTAATCCCCCTCCCACCTCCCTCGCCGCCATGTCCGTCATCACTGAGCGCGATATGATGCAGCACATGGCCAAGGCTCTTAGCCATGATGAGACTGCCCCCAAACCCAAGCACGTCCGCGGTGCGTGCATATGCTGTTTTGAGCCCTGCGCCAGCTTCTCGGATCGCCTCATTGGCCACTTACGCTCCTCCTTTCGGGCCTCCCCGCGCGTTGCCTGCGGCCATGGCAGCCCTGATCATCTACAACATGCAGGGCGTGCCGAACGCTTATGCCACCTTCTGGAACGCCTTCAAGCAGCAGAACCTCCACACGGACGAGGTTGTCTGCTACAAGGGCCTGCTCACACTGCACAAGGTCATCCGCGATTGCAATGTTGATGTACGCCGGAGCGCTCCTCCCTCGGGTGAATGCTCTTCTCTCTCCCTCCCCCCCTCTCTCTCTCTGCGTTCTTCCGCCCGCCAGCCCCTGGCCTCCTCTCTCCCTCTCTCCGCCCCTGTCTTCTCTCCCTGCGTCGAGAAAGGCGACTGACACATTCGCACAGTTCCTCAAGAGTGCCTTCCGCGAGGTGAACTTCCTCAAGTCCCTGGTCAACCAGCCGATGCGCTCGGGTGCTCGTGGTACGGCCTTGCTGGCCCCCCATCCGCCATCTCCCCCCCCCCCCCCCCCCTGCATCCAAATACTCGACCTAACCACTGTGTCCTCCAAATGCCCCCTTGTGACAGGCTACCAGCGCCTGATCGCGGCCTACAACCACTTCCTCATCCTGAAGCTGGCCTTCCATCAGGTGCACCCGGAGTTCTCGCCAAACATGTCCTACGCGGATTATGTGTCCCTGCGCAAGGCCCACGAGCCAAATGAGGCGTACCAGACCGTGTTGGATCTCTTTAAGCTGCAGGGTGACGTGCTCATCCTGGTCGGCATTGGTGCGGCCTCTCTCTCTCTCTCTCTCTCTCTCTCTTTCTCTGGCCATCCGTCACGGGCGCCCCCATCCCTCTCCCTGTCCGCTTGTTCCACTCCCATCAGGGATCTGGCCGCCCTCTGACACCCCGTGAGCGCCCTGTGCCAACCGCCCCTCCAGTGTTCAACTCCTTCAAGACGGGCGTCGCCAATGAGTGCCGCATCTCCTCGCTGGTGCCACTGATCGAGGAGAGCTGGGGCATCTACCAGTTCCTGATGTCGATGCTCCGTGCCATGCATGCCAGTGCGTTTGCCTTGCGTCCTCTCCTCTTCCCTTCTCCCTCTCTCCCTCTCTCTCTCTTTCTCTCTGTCTCTTTTTTTCCTTGCTCACCACTGTGACGGCTCTCTCTCTCTCTCTCTCCCTCTCTCCTCCTCCCCCCCTCCTTTGCCACCGCATCCCTCTGCCAGTGGTGTCCGACATCTCGGTGTACACCGAGCTCCGCGACAAGTTTTCCGAGCAGCACGCGAGCTTGCACAAGTTCTACGAGAGCTCTAGTTCCATTCGCTACCTGACCTCGCTGATCGACATTCCGAGGCTGTCGCGCGTGCGCTCATTCTCCCCTTCTTTCTCCCTCTCCTATTGCCCCTCGCCCTCGGCTGACACTGGCCCGTCGACAGGACCCACCGCTGCTGTATGAGCCCCACCAGGCCCTGCCTGTTGAGCCCCCGCGCAAGGCGGCCAGCCCGCCGCCTCCGGTGGCCAGTCCCCCGCCCGAGCCGATTGTCGTGCACGTCCCCTCCGGGCCGGACCCGGCTCTCCTGCGTCTGTTGGCCGAGAAGGATGCCGAGATTGCCCGGCTTCGCAACCGTGTGGCCGAGCTCGAGCATGAGCTTGGTGTCATGCGCGGCCTGCTGGCTGGCGAGCAAACCCGCAGCATGGACCTCGAGTCCCGTAGCAAGACCCTCGATGGTGCGCGGCCTGCCACCTGCCATCTTTCTGCCCCTTCCTACTTGTCAATTGCCCCGCCCCCCCGCCCCCCTCCCCTCTCTCCTCATGCCTGCTGTGCACTCATTCCCTAACCTTCCTCTCTCGTTCTCGCTCGCTCGCTCGCTCGCTCTGCTCCCCTCCCCTCCCGGAAAGAGGAGCACAAGGCCGCGTCGGCCAACCTGGCCCGCCTGACCAAGATGTATGGCACCATGCGCGCCCAGCATCTGGACCTCCTCCGTCAGAAGCAGGACTTCGCCACGGAGACACGCCGGCAGGCTGCCGCCTCGGAGGCGGCCATCGCCGAGGCTCGGCGCAATGCCGAGGCCGCTGTCCGCAAGGACACCGAGAAGACCATCGCCGAGGAGCTGGCCAAGGCGCAGAAGGCTCACGAAGAGGCCCTCCAGCGTCTGAAGGAGCAGGAGGCCCGCGAGCGCGAGCTCCTCGCCAGCCAGTTGGCCCAAACCAAGCTGACATTGGAGGAATTCTCCAAGGTCCGTCCATCTTCGGGGTCATGGGGGGCCCTTTTGTCGGGCTCTCGAGCCGGTGTGCATTGTACCTGTTGCTGACCCATGCCATTGTTTGTTGCCGCTGGTTTGGGCCCTTCCCCCATCATGCAGTCATCCGGTGCCGAGTCCGATGCCCTGCGCCAGCACTATGCCCGGCTGGAGGAGGCCCAGGCGGCGTCGCTGGCCGCGGCCAAGCTGGAGAGCGATCGCCTTCAGGCCGAGCTGGCCTCGCAGCGGGTCTTCTATGACGCGCTCAAGCGCGAGAGCGATGCACGCGCGGCCGAGCTGGCTCTCCAGCGCCAGGAGAATGAGGCCCGCATGGCCGAGGCTGAGCGCATTGCTCGGGCCGATGCCGAGGCCCTGGCCTCGGCCCGGCGGGCCAACCTCCAGCTCCTGGCCGACCGGCTGCTGGAGGAGGTCCGCGGCCGGGTGGACCTGTCCGTGGCGAGTGACACATGCGCGCCGCATGCGAATGCCTCGCGGGCGATTGCCGCGTCGGATGCCATCCGCGCGGCCCTGGAGTCCTTCAATGGCCTGAACACGGTGGAGTTCATGAATTCGCTGGTCCTGTCGCATGATGGCGCCAGCGGGGCGGCCGGCGGCACCGGTGCCGACGGCGGCACGGCCGACCTGAGCGAGCTCCTGCGGCAGGCGCACGCGGTGGCCGAGAACATCGACTCCATGCTGAACACCGTGCGCGGGCTGGGCGCCACGTATGAGGGGCTGTTTGATGGGGCCGGCGGCACCGGCACCGGGGGGGAGATGCCTCGCTTCGATGCGGAGGCTCTCATTCGCGCGGCCGAGAAGGTCGCCGGTTCCTGCCGGGACATGCTCCGCCGGCCGATGGAAACCGGCGCCACGACCACCGACAATCAGGAACACGCGGCCGGCTTCGAGGCGGCCATGCAAACCCTCTCGGGGCTGCTGGGCCAGCTGCCGGATCCGAGCGCCATCTCCACCACCAAGTCCCTGGATATCGATGGGGCCATGGCCGGCGCGGCGGCCGAGATCGACCAGGCAGTGGCCCGGCTGAGTGCCCTGCTGGCCGAGGCCATGAAGGAGCCCTCGCGCGCGGTGCATGCCTCCCTGCTGGACACCACGCGCGCCATTGCCGGTGCCATCGGTGCGCTGATGCGCGCGGCGCGACTGGCCCAGGAGGAGATCGTGGCCAAGGGTCGGGGCACCGCCTCGCCGGACCAATTCTACCGGAAGAACCATCGCTGGACCGAGGGTCTGGTGTCGGCGGCCCAGAGCGTGGCCTCCTGCACCAATGTCCTAGTGGACAAGGCCGATCGGGCGGTCAGCGACGACCCGGAGGCCGACGGCGAGAACCGCATGGAGTACCTGGTGGCCTCGGCGCACCAGGTTGCCGCGTCTACCGCGCAGCTGGTGGCCGCGTCGCGTGTCAAGGGTGCGTTCTGTTCCATCTCCTGCCGGTTGCGCCCCCTCGCACTGGGGGTACCATGCGCATGGGGATGCCTCCCCCCCCCCCCCCCCGCCTGTCATGTGCTTTTCCCCATTGGGGGGTCTGCCCAGCCAAACTCCCTCCCCTCCCCTCGCTCGCGCATCCACATGTCACTCACCACCTTTGATGCGCCGCCTCGCTTTTGCCCTTCCCCCTCAGCCGACCGCAACAGCGTCACCCAGGAGAACCTGGAGGGCGCGGCCAAGGTGGTCAGCGAGGCCACTCGCGTGCGTTTTTCCCCCTCCCCCCCCTTCAGCGTGTTCTCTTTTCCTGCTACAGCCTTCCTCCCGAAAGCTCGCCAGCGTCCACTTTGTTGGTGCTTTCCTCTCTTTGGTTGTTCTCACCGTCCCGCCCCCCGATCCCCTCCCCGTTGGTCCCTCCTCTCCGCTCTGGACATTGCAGGCTCTCGTCCGTGCGGTGAAGCAGATCTCCTCGCGTGCGGCGGCCGAGAAGGCCGCCAGCCAGCCGGCTGCCGCTGCCGGGGGTCAGCTCTCCTCTGCCCAGTTCCGCATGCAGGACATGGAGAAGCAGGTGAAGATCCTGTCCTTGGAGAAGGCCCTGGAGGATGCGCGCCGCGAGCTGGCCGACCTGCGCAAGCTGAACTACCACAACCTGGAGGCCGACTCGCCGACGGCCGACTCGCCGCCGGAGACCGCGGGTGGTCTGGAGACCTCGGTCAACAAGATGACCCTCAATGCGGCGACCCCGGCCCCGGGCCCCATGAGCAAGAAGGTGCCCCCTCCGGTGGCCCCCAAGCCCTCCTTCAACTAGGCCCCCATGGAGAGGGGACGAGGGGGGGGGGCGGGCCCTTTGTGCTGGCTGGCCCTGCCTGGCGCGTCCCATTCCGTTGGGCGGGGCGACGCCTTGTCCCTCCTGGGCCCCCGCTCTGCGGGGGTCCACCTCCGATCGGTGGTGGGGATGCCTGGCGACCCCCGGGGGCGGTGGATCCCACTCGGCCCTCAGCACACGGAGAGCCTCCCGGGAGAATGGGCAGGGGCCGGGAGTCGCAGGAGGCGTCTCCTTGTGGCTGGGAGTCAGTCATCCTGGGCCGTGGCGCAATCCCGGGGCCCGCCCGGACCGTGTGTCGGCCTGCCTGTCCCCGACCATTTGGTGCAGGCTAGAAACTGGGCCCCTCGCGCGACAAAGCGAGCGGGACTTCGCATGGGCGCGCTCTTTCTTCCTTTTTTTCCCCAGGGCATCCGCTCACACACGCATGAGCGTCCCCTGTGCCGGCATCTCCCGCCCCATTGTACAATATCATCACACCTTCCTATCCACACACCACCCTGTACGCACTATCATGCATGTGGGTGCCCCTCGTTGCACGCGCGGGAGAAAATGGGGAAAAGAAAAGGAAACACACACTTGACACCCGCACAGACCGAGAGAACCGCCCGGCCCCGCGAGGGGGAGGGGAGGCCGCTTCGTGCGAAGTCGGGCCGGGGCGGTGGCCACGCAACGAGACAGGTGTATTGGTGGGAAAGGCCGGCCCGTGTGTGCGTCACACGGAGCTGCGGCCGGTGAATGCCCGGCTAGTCTCGACCGTCGGCCATGAAGACCGCCGTGGCGGCGGTGGCCGCGGCAACCGCCGGGGCAGGAGCCATGGTCTTCCATGTGGCCGAGGGCGCGGGAATACTGAGTGCATGGACACAGGAGGGCGGGAAGCCGCACGTCTGCAGGGCATACAGGATCCGCCGGCCGAAGAGCTCCTCGTCCAGGGCGGCCATTTGGTCCTGGGGCTCCGGGGCGGCGGTGACCACTGCCACACAGATGTCCAGCCGGGTGGCCTGGCTCGGGCGGCGAGGCCCCCGTTGGAAGGCGATGCCGACCGCCCGACCGGCGGGCCGGAATTGCCCGGCCAGCGGGCGATTAGCCACGAAGTAGGACGTCGTGTCGGGCGCGGGCGCCGTGGCGAAGGGGGCCCCGGCGCCGAGGATGCCCCCGTTCTCCGTGCCACCAAGCCTGGTGCCGTCATGTGGCGCCAGGAAGTCGAGGATGGTCTCCTCGGTGATGGTGCCGGAGCGCAGGCTGACCAGGTCCCGGCACAGGGGGAACAGTTGCTGGCGGTCCAGGGCCTCGGCGGGCATGGGCCGGGGATTGGGCACCGGCGACCGGAGGGCCTCATCGGGAAAGGGGTCCAGGATGTTGGCGGTCCCCCGGGCCAGCGCCCCGTGCGCCATGTCCAAGTACCAGTTGGGGGCTTGGCTGCGAAGGGGCGGCAGGCCCGGGGTCAGGGCGGCAGGCGGCGGTGCTGCCGGGGGCGGCACAACGGCCACGGCCGCCGTGGGCTGTCGCCGGCCGGCGGGCCATGCCCCGGGGAAGAGCGAGGCGGCCGCCATCTCGGCCGGGCCGTGGGGCGAAAGCAGCACCGCCGGGGTCAAAGCCGGCGGCGAGAGCAGGTGTGCCAAAGCCGAGTGGGGCCCGGCAGGGGCCACCTGGCGTGTCGGGCCGGTTTGGGAGGTCGGCTCACGCTGGCCAGGCCCGGCAAGGGTGTCGGCTCCGTCGGGCGGGGCCAGGCTGCTGGCCAGGCCCTCGCGGCCGGAATACACCAAGGACCGCCAATCGGCCGGGCGCTCGGGAGACAACATGGCAAAAGGCGATGGCTGGGTGGCCACCAGGACCGGAGACCCGGGGCGGGGGGAATGGCTCGGGCTTCGGCGCTTCCGGCGTTTCGGGCTCTCAGGGGCATTGTTTGCGCCATTGGACCCGCCATTGGAATGGGGGGCCTGGCCGTTGTCGGCGCCGCGGGAGGATGTGCGCCGGCCCCGGCCGTCGTAGCGCTGGCCGAAGATGTGAAACCAGGTGGCATACCCGCCGGCTCCGTGCGGATCGCCGATCAGGCAGATGCGCCCTGGCAGGCGTCGAGCGCACACGACCAGCCGGGCGCTATACCGCCGGGCCGCGTGCGCCGGCCCTCCTGCCAGGCTGGGCTCCCGCTGAGCCTCCTCCAGCTTGCCCAAAGCTTCGATGGTGTCCAGAAGATGGGCCAGCGGCCGTAGCAGGGGGGCTTTGCCGATACTGCAAGCACACGAGGGAGGAGCGTTTGCCAGGCGACCAGGAGCGAGCGGGGGAGCGGGCGCATGCGCGGAAGAGAGGGCAGGGGCCAGGCATGTTAGAGTGGCAACGGCCCAGGGGCCCACGGCGCACGAAGAAGGGCGGGCCCTGGCCACATCCAGCCATCTGACGGCCCGTCGGAGGGGGGAGCGGGGGGCCGGCACCGGCAGTGGCGCCATCGGACGGACGCACGTCTCACATTCGTAGATGACCACCAGCGAGCGTGTCCGCTGCTGGGCTAGGTCGCCTGCGATCCGGGCCCCGCGGGCTGTGGAAATCCCCAGGTCGTAGTGGCAGGTGCTGCCGGTTTGGAGGGCGGCCATGCCGCCGGCCGGGCAGTCGCCACTACAGCGCGGGCACTGGCGCAGGATGAAGTTGGCCCACCGAGCCGCCAGGGCGTAGGTGATACGGGCACTTTGGGGATTGCAAATGAGAGCCGTTAGCCGGGTGGTGGAGGCGGCGCGCTCGAAGGCCCGCCGGGTCAGGCAGGCCGACCGGCTGCCGCCGTCCATCTGAGCCGCGAGCTTGCGGTCGGCCGAGTCCCGGCGCAGGATGGGGGTGGCCAGGCCGGACCCGATGTCGGAAGGGGGGTGGCTTGTGTCGATGGCCGATCGGGCAGCGGCGTCGGCTGCCAGGGCCGACGGGGTGACCGTCTGGTAGGGTGCCAGGCGGGGCGACTGCGGGGCATCATACGTGTGGAAGACACTTTGGCGCCGGACCATTGGGGCGGCAGGCGCGGCCGCCACGGCGCTCGGGCCCGCGGCGGGGGGGGCGGCGGCGGTCCCGGCGGCGATGCCGACACCGGTGGCGTCGCGCGCCCCGGGATCCGTGCCGGCGGGTGTGGACCCGGCGTCCGGCGCCAGGGGCGGACCGCGACGCGCGCGCCAGCGGGCTCGCGAGCGCTGGTACCCGCGGTGGCCCTTTCGCCGGGCCGCCGACACGGACCAATGGCCACTGGCGGCCAGGGGGCGCGTCACCGGTGGCCGGTGGCGGGTGGGCTTCTTTCGCAGGAAGCCAAATAGACGCCCGGCCCGGCGGCGAAAGCCGCGGACCCGGCCAGGCCGCCGGGGTGCCATGTTGGCCGGATGGACGCCCGGGGTGTTGCCGGTGCTGGCGCCGGGGGCCGAGCGCCAGCCACGCGACCGGCCCGGCACCAGCATGCCCAGGCGCTGGCCCGTGCGTCGGGCCCAGCCGCGCAGGCGACCCCGACGCGACCGGCCCGCCGGCCGGCCATCCTCCCCGTCCTCCGCCAAGTCCATGAGGGGGAAGAAATCCTCGAAGGAGCTACTCCGGGCCAGGTCGTCGGCCTGGCCGGCGGGGGGCGGCACCCCGGCCAGGGGGGGCACGACCGGCTTGGCAACCCGGTACCGGGTGGCCGGGCGCTGCAGGCGACTGCCCACCTCGGGCGCCATGAGGGTCGTGGTGGAGGCCGAGTTGAGGAGTTTCCGGGGGCGCGGCCGCGAGAGACCCTCAAAGCGCAGGAAGCCTGGCTCATGGCCGGGCCGAACCATGGGGCCGCCAGGGTGGGCGAGGGCCGACAAGCAGGGTGGCCCGCGCGCGCGCGCGGGGGAGGGGGGGGGGGGGGGGGGGGGATCGATCGAGCAAGCGGCATGAGGGTTAGAGGACATTCGCGCGGGAAGCGTGGCCGGCAAGGCGCAGAGGGTGAGACATGAGCCGTGTCGAAGATGCGCATACGGTCGGCCAACATGGCCCCGGCCTGAGGCGTGGCAAAGACCGACGAGGTGTCGCCCTGGAGCGGGGGCGGAGCCGCGACGGAGGCACCGTCCAGGCTGGCCGGGGCGGCCGGGCCCACAGGCACGACCACCACCCCGTCAGGCGTGTCGGTGGCATCGTCGATGGTGATGCCGAGCGGGGTGACGAGCTCGCGCCGGGTGCGCAGGGTGTCCTCCTGGCCGGCGACCGTGCCTGGAGGCTCGTCCCCGGCCAGGACCCCGGTGGCAAGGGCGTCGACATCGCGATACCTTGCGGCCAGGCGCCCATCGGGGGAGACAATGCGGAAGCGAATGGCCGGCCCGGCTCCCGGGCCGGCCGACAATGTGGCCGCCCCGAGGAAGGCGCCTGCCTGGCCGACGTCCGGGCCGACGGTGTTCAAGCTATGCGGGCGTCGCAGGCGGAAGCCTCCAGCCGGGCGACCGGTGGCCGGGTCGGGGGCCAGGCCGGCGGCCGGGGGGCCGGCCAAGTCGCCGGCCTCCAGGCGCGACTGCCCATACTGGCCCATGAGCGAGAGCGGCTGCCAGAGACTGTCGCGCATGGCCGGCGGGGACCGCGGGCCCAAGGCCAGTCCGGGCCCCGGGGCCCGGAGCCGGACCGCGTCTTCCGCGTCGGCCAGGAGCTGGCTCTCATTGGACCCCATGTAGCTGATGGCCGGGGCGAAGGCCACGCGTCGGGGGGGGCCCTCACCCGAGCCGCGGCCCGCCACCGGGGCCTGGCCCGGCAATGGCGCAGGCAGCCCCGGCGCATCGTTGTCCGTGTCGCTGGCAAACCAATCGTCCAGGTCGCTGTCATCGGTGCACAGGCCCTGCCGGCGGTCGGCCTCGATGCGTGCCTGGGACGACAGCGAGCGGCCGGACAGGGACGTCCGCTCACCCGTGTGTGGGTGCACATGCGACCGGCCGATCGCGCGTAGGCCCAATTTGCCGGCCCCGTGCTGCCGGCGCCACGGTCGTTGGGGCTGTTGCTGCATAAAGCGTGCTGACCCCAGGCGCTTGGCCACGGCGGTGTTGGCCGCCACGGCCATGCGATCCTTCAGCCGGGAAACTTTGGACTGTTCGGCGGTCGGCACCTCATACCCGTCAAGCCCTCGCATCTGGGCAGATGCAGTGGCGGGAGTGGCTCGGGC